CTCTAAGGTGATGAGTTGTGCTCTATGATCTAAGTATCAATATTGTTTGCCTCAAGTCTTGCCATGTGTCACTCACCAAAAGAGCATGTTCATTTAACTCTAGATCTGATTTTTAAAAGAGATTTTTAATAAATGTTCTATTGTTAGAAATTTAGTTTTTGTGTCAAAGTCTGGTGTGGCAGCAAGGATTTGCAGATAAAATTTGAGTTCACAACTGGAAAGTTACTCATACCTTGGTTCCATGGTGAACATTATCAGAAAATTGCAATGTGTCGAATGGTTTGAAAATCTATCTTATCTAAAGATCAACAATCCAACTCCCTCAACTTCTCTTATTGGCCACAGACTATCTATGATTTATATGTTACAAGAACAGCTTTTGTTTATCTATTCTATCACTAATTCACAAAATCATTAGAGGATAACTTTTTAGCAAAGGTTTCTAAAGTAATTCTATTCTACTATTCTAGTAGGTTTTTTTTATTTTTTTATTTTCACCAGAATTTTGATATTTGAGGGCAGATATCAAATGTGGAGTTAATAGCTTTTGTTTTTTGACTAGGTCAAATCACCGATATGTAATATATGTGCCTTGTGTACTTGAACATGGTTTCCTTACTGCTCACTAAACATAATTGTGATCTGTGAATTAAGCCTGTATGGGATATTGGTTCACTGAACCTTATCAGCTGCTTGGTTCCTTAATCTAGAGTAATATTATAACATATGGTATATCACCTATTCTCAGCTGACATCATTCACTGTCTTCCGTGTGAGTTCCCCCAATTTCTTTGATACAATCTAAATGATGAATGCCTGATTATAGTGCAACTCCAGTTCTTAAAAAATTAATTGTCAAACTTGTACTTATAGGCAGATGTGCCTATGTGGGCTACGTTTTAAGATTTGCTAAGCTTTTCTTTTTAATAATGTATCAAAGCTGCGTTTTTTAATTCAAAGCATAACCAAGATGCCTAGTCAGTATTGGATTTGTTGATTTCCCATATTTATATGATATGGTTGCTGTTGCAGATAGTTGGTCTTGCTATTGCCGTAGTCTTCTTTGCTCTCATGAAGCAAGCACATGCCTGGGAGCGTGATTTGCCTATACCATCAATGTTAACTGCTGTTGGGTGTAATATGAAGCTGTTTACCCCATTTCTCCTAGTGACTGTAGTGCCTCTGTTGACCCCTCTGGTGCTCTCTGTCCTTCAGTTTCATCCCATTCCATCAGTCTCAAGCTTCCTTGTTGTATCACTTGCCTGTTACATGTTTGCGAATGGCCTCATCATTATTCTGATTTTAGTCTCACAGTTGGTTTTCCATGTCAGTGCCGTTGCTCATGTTTTCTTCAGGAAAAGGTCAGTTGACTCAATTTTCCTCCTTCATTCACTTAATGTTTTTTTTGGATAAGTAACAACTTGTTTACATGCCACAACTGCATTCTTCAAAAAAAAAAAAAAAAAAAAAATGCATTCTGCTTTGGCCTTGCTTTGGAGAGTCCCTCCTTCCCAATTATAAAATATATTGCTGGCTTGCTATTTTTTGTGCCTGACTGGTACTTGACATGTCTCTGAACATGCAATGGCAGTTGTGCAGGCTGTGCTTGATTGTAACTGATGCCAATTTTGCTTGAATGCCTCTTTACACTTTCTGTGCGCTTGTTCTGTGCAAGTTCATGCATGAGAATTGAGCATTTCTAGAATTTACAATTCGTCTCCGCAGAGTAAAATATTTCCTGATTTGTGAAAGGTTTCTGATACATAGTTATCCTCTAAATGAAAGTATAAATTTGTCAGAAACTGTGAACCATAGGGCTTGACAAACAATGCTTCCTCTGTTTTTGTTTCTACCTGCAAAACTTTTCACATCACTCTTGCCAATGCATTATTTTAATCACTAACATCTTTAATTACCACAATATGTAAAAGTAATAAAAATTTAATAATGAGGTGAATTTAACAGTATCTCACATGACTATATTTTTCCTGTATAAATCATCAAAGCTAGTCAAATTGGAGTACATGAATAGTGTATAAGTCAGTGTTGCAAGTAAAAAAAATAAGTGTTATAAATTTCTTTTCAAGCTTTGCAGTCTTTCATAATTTTGTATACGTACTTAAGTTAGACAAATACTGAATGCTCAAATGCAGAAAATTGAAGCTCAGCATAGCAATGTCTTTTAAGAAAGTGAAAGATATTGAAACCTCAAAGCAGTCCTGAACTCCTGATTGTATGTCTTTTAAGAAAATTATCACTATTTTGTACTACATTATAGTCTTCTTGCTCATTATATGGCAGGTGGCAAGTATGGGAAGGGAACTTTTGTTTGATTTGTCTCCAAAAGTTTTTCAACCTTGTTTCCAGGATCTTTTCATTTAAGGTAAGTGACTTTGACACATACCGCTTGCTCTTCTGTGAACATATAATCTTAAATGCCATCTAAAAATCTTCTTGCCTTCTGTTTTTCTTTCTCATCTACTAATAGAAAATGTTTGTCTTGCCTAATTGCTGTGGATAGGTGGTGAGAGTTATTAGATCTAATCCTGTACTCATGATGGCTTTGGTAGCAACCATTTTGGTGTGCTTTGTTCATCCAGCATTGGGCTTATCATTACTGCTGATATCACATTCTTTATGCTGCCATAGTGCGTTATGCAGGTAATTCTTGCAAGTTGAATATCAAGTCATTATGGGAAAGATCACCCTGATTTTAAATGCCAGTGTCTAACTAAATTTATCAGGGTCAGGAGATTTTGAAACAAAATCTAATCATTGATTTTTATTAAAATGGGAGATACCAAGTGGTGAGCATACTATAATTTGAAATGTATACCTTAATATTATTTCTCAGTGAAGATTTTTTGTAGGTTAATTTTTAAATTACCACCCAAAAATGTAACCATTTTCGAACTAATCACCTATTTAATTTTTTATTTTATATTACCACCCCTTAAATTAAATAAATGCTCAGATTACTACCTATTTCAAATATCCCGTGGATTTTCCGTCTGTAGGCCCCACCTAACACTTATTTTGACCCTTTTGATTAATTTTTTCCCCGATTTTTTTCTTTAAAAATGCTCTCTAAACTTTAATTCACATTTTCTTCACCAAATTCTACCAAATTTCAAAGAGAAAATTGTGAAATGAAGTTATGAGAGCGTTTTTAAAGAGAAAAATCTGAGAAAAAATCAGTCAAAAGTGTCAAAATAAGCGTTAGATGGGGCCTACAGACGGAAAATCCACCAGATTTTTGAAATGGGTAGTAATCTGAGCATTTATTTAATTTAAGGGGTGGTAATTTAAAATAAAAAATTAAGGTGGTTAGTTCGAAAATGGTTACATTTTTGGGTGGTGATTTAAAATTTTTCCTTTTTTTTAAGCAAAATGATGGTAGTTGGTTACTTGTCCGGCCTACTATGATTGAATTGTCATCCTTACTTTCTTGGCATTGTGGCATGCTTCTTCTGGCTCATCCCTCACCCCCTCTTTGGGGAATGTCATGTCCATACTAAAAAGCAAATTTTTTCATTTTTTTTTGGTGACAGCTATTTGACAGCATCCTATCGCAGAGGAACACAAAAAAAGGAATCATATAACTCTAAAGATAAAGACTATGACCGGTCGGAACAGTATGCTTCTCAACAAAGCCGTCGGTCGAAACGTGGATTGCCTTTAGAAGAGAATCAAAACATTCCTGGTGGACCCCTTTACAGTTATGATAACATACAGTTAGAAATCTTCCACCACAGACATGGGATGCTAATTTTGCATTTTCTTGCGATGCTAATGTTTGCTCCATCCCTAGTGGCCTGGTTACAGGTATGAATCCCAACGTCTTGTTCTTTGAATTCTTTGGTTATTGTCGTTACCTATTATTTTTTTCACCACATAGAATACCAATTGGATTATGTTCTAGCACTGTGTATGACTGGATATGAACACTATCAATCTTGATTCATAAATAGTGGGAAGGCTGTCAGATCTTGCATAACTTTCTTTGAACATAAGGAATAAGTTTAGGGTATATGCCCTTACCTACCAGATATACTTGGATTATGGCTGTATTCTCCGTTAACTTTATAAATAATGGTTTTAAATAAGTTCAATTGAGATTAAAAAAACTTTAGCAAAAATACCCTCACTAATTAAGGAAATTCTAAGGAAATAATAAGTTAACTTCGTAAAAGTTTAGGAAAGCTGCAACCCTTCACTTCTCAGTCCAAGTCTACTATATCATTTTTACTCCCAGTGATGTAATTCATGTATCAATAGTTCAATACTACTTGTAGCACACTTCACTAAAAAATAAGCTTCATTTTGAGTGCTCTTGTTTGCAGAGACTAAGAATGGGTCAGAGCTTTCCTTGGTTTCTAGATTCAGTTCTTTGCATTGGCGTCATCCTTCATGGTGTTTGTGATTCAAATCCAGAACTTAATTTCTTCGTTTACCCCATCCCTGGTGTACATGGGCTTGAAGTAAAGTTGAGCTTTGCCTATCTGCTTGCTGGGTATTTTTCATTCTTGTCAGGCCTGGCATTGGCTCCTTATAGAGTGTTATATGCCATGGCTACTATTGGAGCACTTTCATTTGCGTTCAGAATGATCCGAAGGAGGAACAGAGAGAAGGGAGAGGCAATTTTTAGTAGTCGGAAGCACTCTCATCGCCAGTAGTGTGTCTTTTACAGTAAATTTTTTGTAGGTAGGTCCTGTATACGGTACCAGTTATTTGTTGATTGCCTTCTGAAGGTATTGTAAACCCTAGCTTCTTAACCTCAGTTTTGCAATTCCATAACCATATTCACGATATATGTTTTTTTTTATTGTGAAGAAATGTAGATTGAACTCTGATATAGGATAAACAGATTTAATGTGAACTACTAGTCAGTATCCCTCAAGGGAGATTACAGAGTTATTTTTTGTATTTCCCATGTAGCTTTACACGCAAATACAATTTTTCAAATGGACTTTTACTTTGTTTTCAGTATTTCCCACATATTTGCATGCCCACTTTGACAACCTCTTGTAAATTACAAAAAAAAAATCATTACATAATCTCAACAATACTTGCCTTACTGGTAAGCTGAACACCACCTCTGTGTTCCTTCCCCGTTTTGATTGGCAAAGCTCATGTTCGAAATTAAGAAGAGAAACTGTTAACGGGAAAATAATGACTGTTCTATCTTTCATACTGTAAGCAGCTAAATGGTAGCTTCCAAGAACATACTCTGCTTAAAGGTAAAACATGCCTAAAACATAATTTAGGGATAAGAAGATCTATGGGAAATGATTTATTCATTACATAATGTTAACACAAATCGATGAATCAGCCCATTGTGTAGGACGGTGTAGGCAAGTTGATTACAGTGCTCTTAATTTTCGTCATCATATTAATACTGTTGGTTATCCCCTGGGAACCAATTCCACTGTCCTTTATTCCCTGCATAACATAAGAATCAAAAGCATCAGACAAAAAGACTTTCTATATTATGTGTTTATGACTCATCTCTTAAGGGAATTATATGCAAAATCACTACTTATTGCCAGCAAGCTGATCTTCAGTTTTGGTTTGTTAGTTTGTCGCCACAAGCTTACCTGGAAGGGGAAGTGATCTGGTCCACGAGCAGGCGCAGAATTGATCTGAACTGTTCCCGTCTCCATTGCATCACTAATCAGAATTGCCTTGTTTATGTCTTTTGTGAAAATACATCCCTGCATCAATCATCACATGAATTAAGTCAATAGAGGAATAGAGAGGCAAGTTCCATATCAACCTGCGAAAAATCATTAAGAGCACCCATGTCTGAGAGACATCATTGTGTCTGAAAGTTTTTGATTACACTATATTGGGTATTTCATACTTTCATGTCATGGACTCATAGTTGAGGAATTGAGAGCCAAATGGAGCGACATGAGATTTTGGTGCTACATCAGACATTAAATTTCGTAGTTGTAAATTTTAGAACTGGGATCTTTTGCATGCGTTTGTATTGTATCTACTAGTTATATTTATTCTAAAATTGCATGTTATGAGTACTATATAATAAGTGGACAAACTAGAGAGATTAATCATACCTGGAGACCGAAATTGCTAGCATTACAATGGTGGATCCCTTCTTCGATAGAGTTTATCCTAATAACTGGCAAGACAGGGCCGAAAGGCTCCTCCCATGCAATCCTCATGTCTGGCCGAACATTGTCCAATAGCAAGGGCCAAATGAGGTTGCCCTCCCTTTTATACTCTTGGCAGAAAGTTGCTCCCTTCTCCTTGGCATCCTTGACTAATCCTTCAATGAAGTTTGCAGATGACTCTGTGACAACAGGAGTTATATCACAGTTTTCCTCAGGAGGACCGACTGTGAGTTTGGCTACTCTAGCTTTCACTTTTTCGACAAGGGTATCAGCCACAGAATCCATTACTAGCACAACTTTAACAGCTGTGCATCTTTGGCCACTGAAGCGAAGAAAGGAAAGGATTAAAGCTGTTACATGAATTTAAACTAAACACGAAAAGGACAGATCGAGTTAGACGGGTTTATATCAAACATCAAATATTATTATTGGAGTATGTTTAAAGAAGCAGTTTGAATTCGTCATACACTTTGCTATGAAGTCAAGAATGACTCTAATGGCAGTTGCAACTTGCAATTCGACATACACTTTCAACAGCCTATGAAACTGTAAGATAAACAAGCTTGGAAAAGAATTTTACCTGTAAGAGAAGCCTCCTTTTATAATGTTTGCAGCAACAAGATCCAAATCGGCATCTTCAAGTACAATGCAAGCATCTTTTCCACCAAGTTCCATCTGAAGAGGGATCATTCCAGCCTTCTTTGAAATTGCAATTCCAGTGTCTCCTCCAGTGAAGCTGAAGTCCAAAAAACATATTTATTCAGTAAACATCCTCTAAAAAAACAGTATTATTTTAAGCCAATCAATGTTTCAGAATCAGCTAAGTGAATACGCCCTCACCTTATGCAGTCAACCCCTGGATGCAATGTTAGGAAATCACCAATTTCAGAGCCTTTTCCGGTGATACAGCTTATAAGTCCTTTTGGAAAGCCAGCCAAGTGAAAGCAATGGATCATGTGGAGTGCAGAAACAGCACCCTACCATACAAGAAATCCTCTCAATGTTAAACGGTATTTTTCAAATTGCAAAAAAAAAAAAAAAAAAAAAAAAAACAGAAGCTGTAAGTTTCTGTAAGACTAGTTACCTGTGTTGGAGGCTTTAGCACGAGCGAATTTCCAGCAATAAGAGCAGGTGCAATTTTTGAGACAGCAAGGTTGACAGGATAGTTGAAGGGTGGAATTGCTAAAACAACCCCTAGTGGAATCTGCAAATGAACACATCTATATGAAATGAACGAGGATAACCGACCACTGCAAAGACATAAATAAACATGTAGTTATTATATGATGCTTACTGATATAAGTTATGTAGCGAGCAATCATGCACAATATTAGGGGTGTTATAGCATTATCTGTGGTGATTGTTAAAAGTCTAGCAGCTTATACTTCTGTAGGAAAATTGAGTATAAACAAGTGTACAGACAAACAGTAATTACTGGGATAAATATCAAGTCAATAAAAATAGCTTAGGTTTCTGTATTGTTTGTCACTAACTTATGGAGTAATTTGACAATAAAGCAGCAATACATTAGCTTAGGTGGTAATCCCATTTCATTAATCATGTGCTGGTGTAAGGTGGGTCGCAAAGCGATATGCTTCACAAAAATTAAAAGGTTGGTTCTACAATATCAACTGTCATTCTCAATTGTCATTCTAGTGGTTCAAACCATGGCAAAAGATATACAGGGGACCATTAGCCAGTGGCTAGTAAACTCTTTCACCTACTGTGAATGAGTTGTGGATATGTATCTTGGATCTATCCATTTCCATTAATATAGGAAGCCAATGATGTAAACATATACATGCATAACACATTACCAGTAGACAAACAACTTAAGGAAAAACATATCCAAGATGATAGTATTTTGTATGTGTTATTTCGTTCAATCCATAATTAAACCATAAGAGCCCCTAACCCCTTTATGGTAGTTCCACCAGTTGTCGAGAATTATGACACACATTAACCATAGACGCGCTAAGATAATATACAATATGTCCAGATGGAGGGAAAGAAATAAAAAGAATAAAGATGTTTACCTTGGATGTTAAACAATACTTGGTCCTCTCATTTCCAGGGAAACTGTCAGAAACCAGGAACTTTCCTTCTCCAAGAATTCTCACCCCTTCTTCGGCACAATAAGACACCAAATCTCCAGACCTAACAGCCTATTAATTACAAAACTTGACATTAACCAAATCAAACAAACAAATATTGATGATGCAAAGTAAAAGAGAATTTGTAAACTAAACTAACTCGCTTTAGTATAAGAAAAAAGATGATTACTTCAGTCACAGCATCCTTAGCAGGCTTAGCAATCTCTTTGACCAAACATTCAGCAATTGGAGTTTTATGTTGTTTCAAAATGGCAGCTGCTTTATGCAATAACTCTGCTCTCTTCCAAAGAGGTGTCTTTGCCCATGATTTTTGTGCCACTTTGGATGCTTCCATCACCTTATTAACCTCTTCTTGGGTGCATGCTATATTTGTGTGACACAAAATGTTAGAGAATCATATAGTACTGCTTATATCATATTAGGCCTTACACAAAATAAATATTACCTTGGACTTTATATTGGATCTTTCTAGTGGTAGGATTAATGATGGAAACTGATTTACCAGAAGATGAAATTTTCCATTCACCATCAGCATAATATTTATAAACTTCCCCTTCAATTATTTCTGCAAATACACCATTTCCTGCCATTGCAGATTAATAAAACTCAAACTCTTCTTCTTCTTCTTCTTTTAAGAAAAAAATTAAAAGTTGTAAGTTGGAAGAGAATGGTGCTGTGGGCTGATGGGTGGCCAAGGCTTATACAAGGTGTAGGAAAACTTTGGCTTTTGTGGGGTTGCTATAATGTGGTAGGTGGTTCTAAACGTGCCAAGTGTTACCAAAATTTTATACTTATAACATCCACTATTTTGACTTGTCTTAACTCTTATGGGTTTGGATTTGCTTTTTTTTTTTTCGCAAGATTTACTTCTAATTTATTAATAGTACAGTACTTCTTGTCTTAACTAACTAATGAGGTTTTGGTGTAGTGGAACAAATTAGTGACCTGTGTATGGTAGATAATAGGTTTAAATCCTCTCATTTCATTCGTAATGTTAAATAATCATTATGGCTTATCCGCAAAGAAAAACAAAAATATACATATCAATTGTGCAAAATCAGTGTAATTCATAAATTTTAATTATTAAAAATAAAGTATATAATCTCTTAAGACAAAAATAAATAAATAATATCAAACCATTAGTTAGCCTATACAAGATACAACTATAAAAGTATAAGAGAGGTTTTACACCTAGAATTCAATTTCCAAATGAAGACAACCAGTCCTCTTGTTTGTATTACAAGACTGCTAAAATGATACTCTATAAGTCTATATAGTGGACATTTGTTCATAATAATTTAACAAGTCCAAAACAATTTTGGTGCGAGTAAAACAAACTTAAGAAAACCAACCACAAATCACAAAACAAGCAAAACCTCGTGGCGTTTAAACGGGTAGTTGGGAGGGTCCGCAAATCATCCAATCGGGTCGTCACTTTCATGCCTTATAATATGTGGATCTTATTTCTTTTTACACTCAACAATAATGTTGGTCCATTAAACCAAAATGGACCCAAAAGAGTTATTTTCACTTTTATGTTTTTTGTTGGCATGGTTGAAGGGTTTGGTACGTTGGTTAGATGCAATACCTCCTTATTCCCTATCTAACCTTCATAGCAATGTCTCCAAAACACTTCCTCTGTCATAACGCCAACTACTATATCATGGAAATTTAAGATTGATTTGAAGGTCTTGCACTAACTTACCACAAGACATTGAAGTTATACTTACCATGAAAATATAAAATTACACAAAATATATGAGTCTTTCAAATACACACTTATCTTGTAGATTTAAACTTTAGAGGATGTGCATTTATATTTATATAATCTTTAAATGATAAATGTACGAGTATACTACGTATAATTTTGATACCATTACTAAAAAAAACATAGTCTCAAATAATAAGACACTAGTACTACTCGAAATACATTATATTAAAGAACCAACTTAAACAAAAGTTTAAGCTGATAGTTAAAGCTCAAGATTGATTTATAAATTTTACGAGGTATCAACATTAAAAGTTACATTATTTATAAGTTATTATAACACACTCAAAAATCCTAGTTTTTTCAATTTTCTAAATCCAATATTGTGTCACATTGTCACTAATATTTTTACAAAAATAAAAATATTGGACATGATCATTTAACTTGTATTGGACATTTTGAAAGCCAAAACTAATTTCTTCTCTCATAAACAATTAATTTCAACTCAGTTCAGTTCAATTCAGCCCAGTTCAATTATTTTCAGTAAATCGGAACAAACCCTTCGTATGTCCTAATCTCCTAAACTCCTAATCAACCACTTAAAAATGTTTACGCATAATATCAATGCACTTAGTTGTATGTGTGATTTATCATTTAGGGAGTAATAAAATAGCAAATCCTACGTATTCTATGTTCATTCTATGAGTCCATATGTGTGCATAAGAAAAATTCATAACATAGAATGACAGTTATGACACTGTGGTACGACTGGATCACTGGACTAACATCTGTTTTCTATGCGACTATATTTGGGTGCAGACTGTATGAGTGACTGTGTGCAGTGCAATTCAAGTTTTCAGAGATCTGGCTATACTAAATAACGTAAACAATTCAATCCAAAGCTCAAACATTTAGACGACTATCTAAAAAATCCTAGAAAAAGGAGCTTCGAAACCTAGATTTAGTACTGTATAAGCTAATTTCATCAAAAGCAAACACAATACCAACATCTCAGTATGTCTTCCACCTCTTTGGCTCTCACCTTCTTCCTCTTCTTCTCATTATACCCACTTTTCTGCTCATTTACAGCTTCCGCCGCTTCAGATGATGTAGAGGTATGATGGGTCTTTGAATACCCATTTTAAATGCAATCGACTGAAATTAATTTAGGGATTTTTTTATCACCTATTTTGAATTTGATTTCTGGGTGTTGCTTATTTTGTGTTCTAATTGATTTTCCTGGTGTTTTGTGTTAGATTACATATGGGTCAGTTTTGAAGATGATGCATGAGAAGACTAAATTTAGGTTGCATTCTCATGATTTGCCATATGGATCTGGCAGTGGACAGCAATCTGTTACTGGTTTTCCCTCTGTTGATGATGCAAATAGCTATTGGGTACTCACTCTTGCTCTCTTTGATCATGCCTGCAATTTAAAATAATGATAAACATACATTTTTTGGATTATTCGGTGTGATTTGGTTATTTACTTCTTTCTTAGATTGCATTCTTTGTACTTGCGTATAGTACTGCTACTTTTGAATGTTTGGAAGAAGTTGTCGCATTTTAAAGAATGGTTTATGATTATATATTCCAAAATGCCAACAAAGGGTTCAGTAGTGAAATTGTGTCTTATGTTCTCAGTTATGAGGAACATACGTGACAATTATATAGAGATGGAGTTTTTGTTAGGATGCAAATGCAAGTGTAACATTACTATGTATATGTATTGTAATTCTTAGGATTAATAAGATAGTTGATGGCATAAGATTGAGTTAATGCATTGGAGTTTTGTGCATGTATGCAATGGTTGGTCTTGAATAGTTGAATGTATAAATATATATTGTGGGGTAATAGTAATAGCCTGCTTTGTTATTGCTGTATGTAATTGACCTCTGTACCGCTCAAGACAGGAGTTTCTTTTAATGCATTGGGTAATGTTGATATTGATGTTGTATGGTAGCATTATTGTTCACTAACTAGTGTATTTAAATTGGAGATTGTTAGGCCAGAGCTGGGAACATCTGCTAAGCAAGGTGACCCTATTGTAAGTGCAACGATTATCAGGCTGCAGCATATGACGACAAGAAAGTGGCTGCACAGTCATTCCTTTGAATCACCCCTTTCAGGCAATCAGGAGGTTGGTCTCAGTTTATACTGATTCAGTATGCTCATACTATAGTAATATACTTCGTATCTATGTCTGCACTTCTACTGCTTTTTTCTTTTTAATTTTATTGCATCATGTATGGTGAATATCAACTTCAGAAACGATTCTTTCTGTGTCATTATCCACGACCTGCCATATACCTTATGATTTAGAGTTTACATATACCAGTTGGCTTTTATTACCATCCCGATGACAGGCTTTTATTACCATCCCGATGACAGGCTTTTATTACCATCCCGATGACATTAAAAATTAACATGCTCTTGTTTCCAGTTACGTTACTTGAACAATAAGGTTTACTGGACCAATAAGATTTTTATATGCACCTCTTTACAAAATGCCTAAGAAACATTTATATGTTATACTTCGTATATTATAGCTCGTTACTGTGAAAAAGTCATTTCTGATTTGTAGGGCATTTCATAACTATTCCAATTTACTTTGTTCTACAACTAGATTTCCGGTCCTACAGGACCCCTTTATGAGAGAGGTGGTTTTATTTGTATCATATTTCTAGATTATTAGATTTTTTTTCTTTTCATTTAGTATTATTCAAGGTATCCCTTTAAAGATAGATTTGTTCCATTTCTCAAGTCAAGCAACTGCTTTGATCAATTAGTCTAAGACAATATTCTTATTATGAGCATTAAGATTAGGTAGAAAGCAAGGTCAACTAATGTAGATATCACTAGGGGTTCCACAGACTTGAATAGAACTGTCTATTGAATCAAGAAGATGCCAATATGTTTGTGTTAAGATACATAAACTCAAAGTTATGAAATATGAAGTGGATTTGAACTACTATTGAAGAATTCTGACACATCCACTTTTGCTTACTATAAGCAAGAATTGAGAGTTGTTGTCACTGTGTACTAGACTATGTAGTGTACATAAAAAAAAAAAAAAAGAATACTACTTCATATGACTTTACTCCCTGCAATAGGGAGTGAAGTGCATTGTTCAAATCTGTTGTTGTGAAGTATTTAGGAAGCCAAGATCATGCCTTATGCCTGCTCTTATTAAAAGTGAAAATCTTGGACATCTGCTGGACGAGGAGTCCCTTAGTTGTAAATGACCCATTAGTTTGCAATTTTAAAGCTAACTGCATAGAGAAGCTCATGAGCAAGTCCTCTGGAAGGGAGAGAGTGAGACATCCCATGGGTCATTTTGGAACAAATACCGTGTTGTATTAGATTCTGATCTACATGTCAAGTGTATTGAGTTATTGACATTGCTACAAAGTCCAATGAAAGATGGAAATCAGTCCGTGGTCACTGCTGAGCCTTTAACATGTGTTACATGTCCTAGGCAATCTTGACATGCATTTGGAAACACGCTCTCATTGTTGCTCTTCTTTCCCATCAATGACATATAATACGAACCTCAAAGTTGATCACATCCCTTCCCCCCCCCCCCCCCCCTTCCTCTCTCTCCTCGAAAAGAAGGTTAATTTGTAATCTATATAACAATATCAAAGGGCTTTGAGACATAAACATGTAAATGGTTCAAGGTCTCTTCGAACTTGATGTAAAATTGCGTGTAACAAAGTCCAGATCATTGGGTCCCGATATCAAAGTTATTGCCACTAATCTCAGCGGTACAATGGGAAGTCTTAGTTCCTTTCTGGGGAAAACTGTGACAATTGTAAAGGCATACACCTAAGGCTATGGATGCTTGAACATTTTGCATACTGCATACATGTTCAAATTCTGATAAAACTACCACTATTTCATCTCCAGTCTGCCCATGTACCCCTTGTTGCTGATGAGATTGAATCCTCAGGGATACAGGAGACAAAGAACTAAAAAGGGTTTATTTATTTATTTAATTTTTTTTAAAAAGAACATAAATAACATATATACCTATGTATTTCAATTCAAGCTTCCTGTAACCACAGAATGCTCATATTTACATGTTCTAAAGTGAAAATATATGCATCTCAGTATATACACCTCTTGATTGATACTTCTTATGAAGTATTTCATAAATTATGAGTGTTACTAAATGGTGATATAACCTATATATAGAGTGTTAGTAATCTTAGTATAGTGGGAATAAGGAATGCTGTGAGTTAAATATGAATTTATGGACCCATAAAAAAATGAATTTATGAAGAAAATAGAAAAAGAAAAGACCATAAAAATTGGGACAACTGTGGGAGTGGAGGGCTGGAGGTAAACTTTCACTTCTCTGGTACAGGTCTCTGGTCTATATTGAACTAAATCGGGGTAAGGCTGTATATACCTTCTAATGCCAAGATGCGTATAGGTTATTATATTTGTTTACTTCCCTTGTGGTGCATGGTAAGATAGTTTGTTCTGCCCCTGAAATAAAACGGTTTCTCCTTGGGTAGTTCACTACTGAGATTTCAATCCTATGCCTTACCATGTGTAGGTCAGCTGCTTTGGGAATGATGGCAAGTCTGACACGGGTGATCATTGGAGGTTTGTTGTAATATTGATTTTTCTTCTGGTTGGCTTGTTCATCTCCGTTGTAGTAGCTTTTCCTGAGTTTATGTTCTCCTTTTTCTAAAGTAATTAATTCTTTCAGGCTAATAGTTGAAGGAACAGGGGAAATGTGGATGAAGGATCAAAGGGTTCGGCTTCAGCATGTGGATACTGGTGTTTATTTACATAGCCACAAGAAGAAGTATGGCATGGGGCAGCAAGAGGTAAGCAATGTTGAAGCTATTCCTCATTTTTTGGAAATGATAATTAGACAAGCTCCTGGAGCTTTCCTTTTAGGGAGCTGCTCAGGGACAGTTCCACAGAGGGGCAGTTATACATATTGAACTAAGCTAGCTATTTCTTTCCGTCTGATAAAAGACCACGTACTAGTATACTACTGAAGAAATAATTTCTTCAAGAAGCAACTGGTAGTTTCAAGCATATACTTGTTTGTTGGATGTGTCCTCATTGTCCCCAGTTTACTCTGTAATACCAAATACTCGCTCATCTTTTGCACAAACACTAATCACAAATTTTCTTATGTTTTTCCTTGACCAGGTTTGTGGGGTGATCAATAAGCAGAGTGACAATATTTGGATGGCAGCTGAGGGTGTATACTTCTCTGTGAATAAAACCAAACACAGCACATAGTAATACACGTTGAGGCCTTGAGGGTTTTCATTAATCTTTATAGTATTGACATACATAATACTCCATATACCATATTTCCGAACAAGCACTTGTATTGCAAGTGCTTCCACAGGTAAGCAATGTACTGAATGAATGATAATTGATCAAAATTTTGATAGAATTTTAATGTTAAGCCTTTTTTATGATTCCTCTTTGATTGTTACGTCACATCGTATTATGAACGATTTGACAACGACGGGCCAGGATGATAACTGATTTTATATTGTCTCTGGACTAGATGCTCTATTATTGAGTCTTCTTCAGCACATTTTCTCATTGAACAATTCAGCAGCATTCAGCAATGCTTTTAAAACGTGGAATTATATATCGTAAAATCAAAGATCCAACCTCCATTATGATTGTGTTGTCGTGTATCCATTTAAAAAAACATAGCAGTAGAAAAGATATAGAAGAATGTAAGACCTAGTCAATTGTATCTTACATTTAGAATAGAGCACATTATATAGTGGAAAAATTTAGGATTAATATATATTAAGGCCTAGATATCTATTATTTTATTACTTATTAGAAGCTTGATGGTTGATTAAAAATGAGACAAGTAATCTACTACTTCGATTCATATTACTTGCAACAAATGAAAATTTTATGTCTCATATATAATACTCCTTTGTTGCAATTGGAAAAAGTGTAAATTTTTACATACATCCGACTGTAATTACTATTCATAACATTTTGTTCTTTTTACTCAATTTTTTTTCAATGAGAGAGAATTTACTTTGAAATGGGCTTGCTTTTAGTTGTTTTTTTTTTTTTTTTTTTTTTTTTGAATAGTTTTAGTTGTGTGTTTGATAAACAGATTACTTCGTGTAAAAATTAGGCATGATGAAAAAATTAGGCCCAAAAAAGGGTCGTACGCTTTAGAGGCCTAACAGGGGGCCCAAATGGTCCAAACAGAAAAGGCCCACAATACATTCATCGACTTTGCTGACAAAGGCACATGATCATCACTTTCTAGATGAGCAAAATTGAAAAGAAATGGACTTTATATAACTTGGTCCCCCTTTCATTTTTATTATTTCTCCCGTTTTTTGAGTTGCAACAATTCGACTTTTATTCTATTTACTGGTATTTGATTTACTTGATCGCTTTAATCACTTTACTCTAATTTGACTTTTAATTATTATACTATTTTACTTTCAAAGGTTTACGAGTATAATTTTTACGTAATTAAAGATATTAGCGATTAAAATAATACATTGGTAGTGTGAAAAGAGAAAGTACTTAATAATATTTATTTCCAGTTTTAAGGTTTTTTTTTTTAGTCTTGTACAGTTGTATTTTTTTTTTTTTTTGGACAAGCTGCACTATGCTAAATAAAAAGAAATAAAAATTGCATCTTGTAGTTGAAATGTGAGATTAGCTTCCTTAAATTCTACTAATCGATGTCTTATTAATCAACTAAGGACTTCCAAATTTTTGAGGGGTCCAGAAAAATGGTGTATGTCCCTTTTTTATACACAACTTATATATAGAAGTATAATAATATAATAATTAATACAGTATATAATATTGTCGGTGAGTTTATATCATATGCCAAATTGGTATTTAAGTGTGATAGCTTGAGATCGCCCTTTGATCATTATGCTATGAGAATATGTAATCAAGTGTGTAAAAACTAAAAACTATACTCTTCAAGTCTTCATTGATTAATATACTTGAGAAGACGATAATTGGGTTCGTTCAAATATAGTTTGGGTCATATATTAGTTTTGGATTCTCATTCCGATCAAATCTTTAGGGGGGGGAATATTATATATAATTCTTAGAGCTATATATAAGCATTAAATACACCCTACAAAATCGTATAAAGTTAAAAAATCATATAAATATACACTAAGGATCTGTTCTCATACGATTATTTTTAGTTCAGCTCTATTAAGTTCAGTTCAGTTCAGTTCAGCTCTAATAAGTTCAGTTCACTTCAGCTTCTAATTTCCTTTTCTTATAAAATATTCATTTTAGTTCAGTTCAAAAGTTCAGCTCAGTTCAATTCAACTCAGTTTAGTCAATGAGAACATACCCTAATTACACTGATTTACGCGTATTTTTGTCATAAATTTCTAATTTTAGAGTATAATTTTCAAGAGTAAATTTAATGTTTATATATAGACTTTAGACTTATACCCAAAAAAAATTAGTGCTACGTTATCGACTTATTGGTACTCACAAATCTGCTAAAATTTTGACAAAATTGGCCTTGAATTATGGCGCACACACAAACCAACAAATTACCTCTGACTACCTTGGACTTTCACTTACAAAAGCAGGCTTCTAACTCTCTTTTCACACGTTCTCGTTAAACCCAATTTATCTTGTTAATTTTTCAAACCAAACCACCCCAATCAACTCTACTACTCGTACCATTAAAGATTTCCCACTTCCAAAACGGAAGAAAGAAAGAAAAAGGTTTTGAAATTCACACTTAGCAAAAAGATAAACATCCTTAGTTCTTGACTCCGTACTAGAGTACTAGACGATCTCACCTAAAACTTGCTATTTAAACACCAACTTAAATGAAAGTTCGCATTGGAGGCAGGGGTTAGCAAATCACACTACCTATTAGGTGAATGTACGAATACTTAAGTTTGGATGATTGCGAATAGCCATTTACGTGCATCTAATAATTTTTCGAGAAGGTCCAAACATAGCACGTATGTCATCTAAAACATTCTAAACCCAAACCGAGCATACGCTCAGGTGGCAAGCATCACCAATACCATCATCCTTCCAAGAGTTCAACCACAAACGAACCGAGAGGGCAAGCTAGTGCAAGAGTATGCAGTTAGGGTCGTTGGGTTGGCCCTAAAGAGAGCATCTCACATGATCAAGTTACCTTATCCCATAAATAAACAAATAAAATAAACTCGTACCAAAAAAGAATACGCACTACTTGAGAAAAAGGGAAGCATAAGAGTAGTATGGTTCTTGAAAATGTGTAGTGTAGGGACCTTGATATGATGCTACGGCCCCCTAGATAAACAAATTATTGAACAACTTGTGAATCAATAATCTCTCTTAGCTTAGCAAGGCTCTACAAATCTGGCTGTAATACACCTTAATGATTAATGAAATGTCTGTATTGGCTCCTCTTAGTCATTATACGTCATCACTTCGAATCAATGCGTTGATTGAGTGTGAAATTATGACTATTTAACATTAATCCAAGAAATCTGGGCAGTTAGAATGATCTCATAAAGATTGTAGTTTGTGTTTGTCAACTAACCTTTGCAAAAATCCAGAGATTTGAGAAGACATTTCCCCAAATCTCATAATGTTGAGATCATATGCAATGGTTTTCAAAAGTTGTGTTCTTGAGAGAATAGACTGTTGGAAAAGTTCTACTTATGCTTTTGAAAACAAAAGCTTGATTAATGGGTCTACCATCAAGGGTCTAATAAAACAATAGTAGGCATTCACTTCAGTGTGAGACATTTATTCTGAAACGGATGGAGTATATGAGTAATAGTCACTTAGAAAGTACCCCGTAGTGTCAACCGAACGAACCCTAACAAGATACAGAGTAATAGAATGATTTATAATTCCCACTTGAGATTTATCACTCAAAAACACTAGCATAATGGTAACCACAAACAAGATTTACACATAGAAGTTGACCTACCAACCACTAGCACAAATTCTCCAAAATTTAACCAAATTAAACAGTCTACCTCTCTGAGCTGGCTACATAAATACAACAATATAATTGTCAAAGACATTATCATCTCATAACAGTCTAGTGGGAAGTTCACATGACTCTACACAAACATAGACTAAACCTAACAATTTCCATAAATATACAAGACAATTGACAATTAACAAACTATAGTAATCTATTAATATAATGCAGGAAGTGAGCAAATGAACAAATTTGGTCAGTGCATTATCATATTAACACAGATCCAGAAGCATATTTACAGCTAAGCAAAACAGGAAAAGAGAGAGAAATTGGGAACTGACAGTTATTTTAAGGTGAAAAATAACATGTTTCCAGGACTCATCATGTGCTACATTTTATATACGTAGTAAAATATTTACCCAAACAAGAAGAGAAGCTGAAGCTGAAGCTGCACTTTTAATTACACATCTAGCAGCCTAATCCTGCTTTTAATTCTTGTTTTCCTAATCTGCAACATTTTTTGTAAATATACTCAGTTGGAGAGTATTATTCAAAGATGGAATAACAATGCAGATAATTAATACGGAGTAAGTCGAGATCCTAGGATTTATTAATTACTCCATCTACGCGTCTAAACAAAGCCTTCACTGAGTAAATGAACTGATTTAGAAGGGGCGACGACTATTAAACACGAAAGAGTGACTTGTAACTGTTTAAGGCAGGGGAATTAATATTGGATGGCACTCCGTATGCAAGGCCTGACCATTTCGTTGAAAACCACCCCATGAAATGTTGGTGATTTATATTGCTTCCCATAGGTTTCGGGCAAATTTTGAACAAACTTAAAGAAGAAAAAGAAAGATTGTGCTATTGAAATTTATTCTTTTCATCATTCACTAGTGATAAGGACTCTACTATACAATGATCCTCTTAATGGCTCTTAACAACCAAAATGCTAAATCATACGAAAATGTCTAGTATTATGCTAGCCAAACATGGATACAAAACATAGCTAATCTATATGAACATATGATATCAGTATAATGAGACCATTACATGCTGCACATGAACATCGATTCAAGGAAAATGGGAGAGAGCACTAACTCTTACTGCTCGGAAAATATCTCATCTTCAATGATCTTAAAAGGGCAAGCTCTTCGATGTTGAACTCACTGTGAGAGACTTGAGATGCTCCGAAGGAACAAAATCTTGGGGCAAGTTAGCCCTCTTGACAATCCTTTTCATATTATTCTGTAAACTCTGCTGGACTAATTGCTTTACTGCCTTTTTCTCTTGGCTCATCATCATATCTTCCTCTTCCTTATTAACATTGGCGGTAGATGAGGAAGACCCACATATAGGGGCGGAAACAGCTGCTGTGGTTTTATTGTTAACAAAGCTCCGAGAGACTTGCTTCCCCTTGTCTACCCTCAAACATTCCAATATCCTTGATGCCCTTTTCTGTGCTAATGTGCTACCTAGAAGGGTTAATTCGAGCAATGCTGATCCAA